GTGGATGGATAGATATATATAATGTGTGTGTGGATAGATAGATATATATAATGTGTGTGTGGATAGATAGATATATATAATGTGTGTGTGGATAGATAGATATATATAATGTGTGTGTGGATAGATAGATATATATAATGTGTGTGTGGATAGATAGATATATATATATATAATGAACATTTTTTTTCGTCACTGGGAGATGTTAACGCTTCGTCAATTGTTCGCCCAACGTATGAACTGAAATCTAATTATTTTTTTTCAGTCTTTTACTTCTTTGCAGCCCTGTTTAATACTAGTAAAATTTAAACATTAACTGAACATACATATTTACTACTGACCAGCTATTTTTCATTGAGAAATGTATGCATCTTTACTAATAAAAGCGGAAGTGTTTTTAAAGAAGAAGCAAATTCCATGCATGCGACATTTTATCTAACATAACGAATATCAAGTAAACTGTCTGTCGTTCGAGAAAATTCGTTTTATTTTTCTTTATGTTGATTTTTATTAGCTGATAAAATATGTACTGAATGTCTGTCCTATAGTTTCGCGTTGGTTCCCTGGCCTCGGAAAGGGAAATAGAAACGTCAACACTGAAATGAAAAAGGATATACACATTGTCTACGTCGCAACAAAATGAAAAAAAAAAAAACATTACATTTCGGCGAAAACAAATGACAATTGACGTGATTTTTATCAGAAAATGTATCGTTTTTCCGTGTTTTTTTTTTTCCTTATCGTTTTTATATGTATGTTTCTTTTAGGATCGAAGTATTACTATTATCATTATTATTATTATATATGCCTTTCAGAGCTGCAAACGGACGTTATAAGACTATTTAGGGGAAATTGAAAACAGAATACAGGAACGTGGTTTTTACCACAAATTGATTCTTGTATAAATTTCATTGTTCGAATGTAAGCCTTTTTCATCAACGCTAGCTTTCCAGAAGTGTTTTAAAATTCTTCGCGATTTGATGAACGCACTAAAAAAACCTATATACGATTCTTTCAAATACATTCAGGACGCGAAACTATAGAATATTGACTATATAACATGTAGTCGAAAACGTTTGTCTATATAAATTATTATAGCTAGCATATAAAGTATAAGGTCTTGGTTCAGCAAAAGCTATATTATTATTTACATTTGAACTGTTACCTCCATCTTTGTTTTTAGTAGCACGAAGTTTTGTCTCTCTCAGTTTAGACTTTTAAAAAGTTGAGAAAACGTAAGCTAGATGCTTTTTTTTTCATTATAAGACACATAGGATTTACCCACCCAGCAAAAAAAAAAGAAAACTACTGAATATTTAATGAATTCGAATGTTAGAAAAACCAATTCAACTTTTACATAAATTGAATAATTATTGGACTGAAAAAAAAAACAATGATTCCTAGCGTTTTTCAGTAGGTGGCGTATGAAAACGTTTTTCTGTTTCATACATGACTGACATTTCAAACATGTATACATATTTTGAAAGGTGACTTTCATGCCTTTTCTATACGACTCGTATGTGAATTATTAAGTGGAAAAATATATGTACCGTTTATGAATATGGTACCATAGCTGAGAGTACTGTTTGTGTTTCGCTAAGTGCAGGGGTTAAAATTTTTATCTGGAAGGCTGAGAACGTCCAGAAAGTCCTTCAGTTATTGATGACCAAATCCAAAGAACAGTTAAAAATAATAAAGATCAAACGACAGGGCCATCGCTGACATACTCCACACATCGCATACGATTACTACAAGGCATTTCAAACTACTTGAATACGCGAATCTCTACACTATTTACATTATTAGGACTATTGTCCTCATCTTTTCTCATATATTTATTACAACATTCGGCCGTTGCGCTCCGGCTTATTCTTCAGGTGGTTGGAATCTCGAAACTGAACCCTTTATTTCGCTCACTAAAGGGTAGACTGTTCTAGTTCAGGTGACATATTTAATGGATGTCAGTTATCTCTGTTAATTTCCCTCTCCAAGTTCCTCCACTGCCTTAACAGGGTAATAGACACACTCTTTGGGTCTTGTCACTGTGTCTAACCACTTTTATCCTGTGTCCTTGGGGGAATAAAGGGTTCAGTTCGATATTCAACTACCTGAAAGCCGGAGCCACAACGGCCGAAGATGAGACAATGGTCCGAATAATGTAAATAATTATTACATAATACCTCATCTCAGAAATATATATATATATAAAGGCCAAAATATGTATAAATAATGCCAACAAGATGAGGCAATCGAATAATGTAAATGGTGTTCACATGCCTCATCTCCAGAAAATATAGACAGATTTTCAGGCCAAATGTTGTGATAAAATTTCAATGGGAAAACCAAATAGTCGTTAATAATGTAAAATAGTGTACATAATACCTGATCTGATGTGTACCTGGTCGTGATGCTGAAAGGCCGAAACGTTGTGATAAATATGGCTTCCAAAGATGAGGGACAATAGTTCTGTTAAGTGCAAACTGAATAAAGGGCCTCATCTCAAATATGAAATGTATACTGAGTTAGTCAAAGGATTGTGATGTCAGGAAACAAGATGAGGCAATTAAATAATGTAAATGGTCATACATAATACTTCATCTCAGAAATATATCAGATACTGAAAGGGCTGAAACTCAACCGACCTCATACGACTTCAAAGATAGGGACAATAGTCGAATAATATAAATAGATGTACAAAACTTCATATATAAACTAAAATTCAATGGGCATTATTACGTGAAAGTTTTCAATCTCTATAGGATTAAAGTCCCTACCAGCCATCCCTCTGTATGGTGAAAATGAGTGATAAATGGCCAAATATGAACAAATAAAGAAAAGTATTGTCTTCTTTTTTTTCGGTTAAAAGGATTTCAAATTGAAATAGAGATTCAATCGAGACATAACGAATAAAGGAATATAAAATTCTTGAAAACTGTTAATCTTGCCCACGCCAAAGAATTGGATGTATTTGCTAAGTGTTCTTTCAATTTTTAATTCTTTTTTTTTTTTTTTTTTTTTCAGAGAGTACCTTGAGTACTTCTATCAGCTCCTTACTCAGTTGTTTTTGGAAATAACGAAAAACCTGTGACCGCGTCACACCAAATCGATGTACTTGGTATTTGGAAGAAACATCAATTGTGTGTCGCTCATTTCGATATCAAGTAAGTTAACTTTTTCTTTTTTATTTGTCAAAGTGTACATCTTGAGCCTGAAAACGGGTTTTTATATATAAAATATGTACCAGTTATTTTGTTGTATGTATGTTATATATATATGTATGTATAAATTTCAGTATTTATAAAGAATTGACATATAAAAATAATGTCAATATAATACACTGTTGTATGTATTTTGTATATATATAAAAATGTGCAAAACAAAATGTATGTATGTGTTTGTTTTAATATATTTAACAAAATGTAATGTATGTATTATGTATATATATTTTTATATGTATGTAAAATATATATGTATGTGTATATATATATATATGTTTATGTCCCCATGTTATATAAATATATATACATATGTATGTATATGAATGTATATGTATGTATATATATGTATGTATGAATGTATATATATATGTATATGTATACATATATGTAAATGTATGTATATATGTATATATGTATGTGAATGTATATATATATATGTATATGTACGATGTGCGTACATGAATACCATCATTCGCTTTGAAATGGACACTCCGGCCCTACCTCAGTTTTGTTCCTTCTTCAGTTGACTGATATCCCTTTACAAATTAACTCTCTCCTTCTTATCAAAATGTTTCAATTCCTTCAGCCTTTTCCATAGTAATTAATTTTTTTCGTTGAACATCCTTATAAAGATGTTTAATTTTCAAGATTGGTTATTTTTAAATTTTTCTTGAAAGATGCTCCTTTCTTGATTCTTAAATTCTTCAATTTTAATAATTATATTGAGGCATTCCTCTCTTGTTTTTTAAACTTGAGAACTTTTTTTATTTAGTATAATCTTTTTTCTTTTCTCTTTATATAATTTTTTCCTTCTTTATATATATTTATTTCTTTATATATATATTTATATATGTACAATCCGTTCTACATATTTATACAAAAATTCATATATCCATATCGCTCATCCAGAATATATATATATAGCAATTCTTCTACCATTTTGCTCTTTCCATCCATCAGTTAAACTTGACATGAACTGCCTGAAAAAAGAACTGCTCAATTCTCAAATTTGAAGTTTGAGAAATTTTCCAAATATTTTTGGGATAAGCAGGGATGAAGATTCACTATATTAAATGAGATTTGTTGCTAGACAAAAACGATTTTTTTTTAACTCTTCATCAAAATCTTAACAAAAAATTGCATCAATTTTTTAAAATATATATAATACCTTTAATATAATCTAAAAGCTATATGTTGGATGCATTTAAAATTACAGGACATCTCATTTTGAACTTATATATAATTGCATAAATTATCTATCTGAGTTTATATACACACTACCCATATAGGGATATAGTTAATTTATATATAGCCAAAAACACGGAATAACGGTTTTAATCCACTATTTCAAATGGTTTTCATATGTCCAAATTCAATCTCTGTGCTCCGAATGCAATTGAAATACAGTTGAAACAAATCCCTTTCTTTTGTAGCGATTTTAAATATATATATATCTATATTGATAAAATTACAATTGGAAATTCTCTTTACTTTTTTCTTCTTTCCATTAATTTATCAAGACAAACTTTTCTTTAAAATGTTTTTTTCCTTCATATTTTAATATATATCATAATTTATATTATATCCTTTTTTATTTATATTTATATAAATTTCTTTCTGGCTTTATTTATTTCCTTTTATACTTTCTTTTCTTGTTTTTCATTGTTTTCCGTGGATAAAATTTTCTTATTGAAGTTTCATCCAAACTGAGATTTTTTTCTTTTTTCTTTCTTTCTTTCTTTAACCTTTTCATGGAGTTATTCTAAATCTTTCGGTTTATTATAGGATACTCCTTTCGAATTTCTTGAAGAAAGTAACCATTTTCCAGAAACTCCCTTCGTCTTCTCCTTCTGTATTTTAATATTTCTTTTATTTCTCTCCAATAGAATATCTCACTCTCTCTTTATTTACCTTGATCTCTAAAACCTTTTATATCTATATAAAAATGTTTTTATATTCTATATTTGTATACGCATGATATTTATATGTTTCTTTTATTTAAATGAAATTCCTTATTCTTTATTTCTTCTTTATTTTATGAAAGTTCTCCTTTATACTTCTTTCTTCCTTTCTTGTCTATATATATATTTTTTGTGTGTGTGTGTGCCTATCTATATATATATATATTTTATTTTGCAGTTTGTGTGTCCCTTATTAAATATATTTATATCTTCATTTCTTCCTTGATTCCGTATATGAAAATATCCATGCATACCTTTATATATATATATATATATCTTTGTGTTGTATTGATGAATATATTCCTCTTGTGATGTGTAATGTTTATACATATTCCCCAACAAATATGAAAATATATATATATTTGTGTGATTCTATATATATATTTGTGTGTATTTTTTTATATATATTTGTTGTAAATGATATATTTATCCATACTTTAAAAAATAAAAAATTTTTTCATATATGAATCATTGTAAGGTCATCGGACATGTATATATATGGCCAATATTTCAAGTGTGTAATATATTGATATATTATTAAATGTGGCCTACATAGCGGGATAACAAAAAACCTTGTAAAAATACAAAGATGGTTTATATATAGATTTTGTATTCACCAAATATCCATAGGAGACAACAAAAAAATTATATGAGATAAAATATGATATCGTCTTGATGGTAATTTGAGGATCCAATGCTTTTTAAATCTGAATAAATATTTACTTTTTAATATAGGCTGATATTTTATGCAATTTCATAAATATGGGACAGATAAAATGAGATGTCAGTATATTTTTTATTTCATAAAATTCATAAATCTAAGACAGATATATTTGTATGTATATATATATATATATATATATATATGTATTTATGGCATATATTTATATATTTTATAAATGTGTAGGCATATATATATAAATGTGTGTGTATATATTTATATGAATTTCATGTATGTATATATATATATAGTTTCATAAATTTGATAAATATAATATATATATTTCATAAATGATATATATATATATATATATACACAAATTTGGTAAATATATATATATTATGGAATTGATAAAGTATATATAATTATACATTTATATTTAAATATATATATATATATATATATTATGTGTGTATATATATATATATATATATATATAAATTAAAAAATAGATATATATATAAATAGATAGATAGATATTATTTCCAAATGAAATTTAAAAAAAGATAAACCAGAAAAACATTTCCATTATAAAGATTTTCGATTCTATAATGTTATAATTTGTGGGTGTGTATAAATATAAATAAAATTTTCGGTTATATATAAATGTAAATATTTGTGGGATACAAGAAGGAGCAAAAAGTGTGTATAAATAAATCCCAATGCGTCAGAATATATATAAAAATTTGATCATCAGAAAGACGATGATCCCATTTGGAAAAACAGATTATATTTGTGTCCCATATATATATGGACATTTGGTTTAATATATAGATAGATTAGTGTATATATATAGATTTTAGACAACAGAAAATATATTTTCGCTTTATTTAGATTTTATTTAGATATGAAATTTTCTCTTTTTATATACAATGTCGATAGATATATTCATATTTGATATATAGAATAGATAGATAATATTAATTTCGGGAAATATTCGGATAGGTCAATGAAGTCACCATTGATGTAAGATATTAATTATTATATATATATTTTTTTATGAATATCTTCAGTTAATAAATGTTATATATTATATAATTTGGTGTGTAGATATATATATAAATCAATTTGTGTGGGAAGGTTTAAATAATAAATATTTGAGGACATGTATATATTGAAATCGGTTTTATTAAATATATAGGAACAAGATGTGTGTATATCAAGGAAGCGTCCTCTTGAGAGTTTGTTCCACAAATTTATGAAGAAAGAGAGATGTGAGTGGGACTTGCTTCTTATCAAAGAAACACGAACGGAATAGTTTGTCATAGTGCCTCCTATATATAATGTGTGTGTGTGTGTATGTACACACACACATATGTGTGTGTATATGTATACATGTATATGTATATATGTGTGTGTGTATATGTATATATATATGTGTATATATATATATGTGTGTGTGTGTATATGTATATATATATATATGTACATATATATATGTGTGTGTGTATATGTATATATATGTGTGTGTGTATATATATGTGTGTGTGTGTATATATATGTGTGTATATATATATATATATATATATATATATAATATGCATATGTGTGTGTGTGTCTTTGGGAAGTGGTTCAGGCTAATAACTGTTTACCACCCCCTTAGAGACATGAAAACATATGCGCACAAATACACACACACACTTGCACATTTGTTTACAATCTATACACATCAGTGAAGAAAGAGAAAGGATCCTTAGCAATCATAAATATATTGATTTACTTAGAATGAAGAAAGTGTGATGAGGAGGAGATGTGTACATTTGTATTGTAAATGGATATATTTGCATTGAAGTACATTGGGCCAACAATGTCTTCATGGATTGCTTAATTATTTAACTAAAGTCTTCAGAAATATTACATGCCAATTTATATATTTATTCTACCCCAACCAACACATGCATTCAGCTGGATACTTACATATAAACACTAAATGTTATAGGCATTCTTTATAACGTACATATAACAAGGTAAATCTATTTTCAATTAAGGCTAAAGTTTACGAAGCATTCATCAACACCTGTCACTGAATTTATACAATCACTCATGCAAGTCATTCTAGAAATTTATGCCAAAACACAGATTACATCTATTAATTCATTCCTTTTTGAATGCTAAAAATCTATCCATCTATCTATGCCGGTGCCTATCTATCTGTCTATCTATCTCTGCTGATTTCTATTTTTTTAAGAAATCAAATAAAAATATGTCAGATTAATAAATGAAAAATCCATGTTATTTTTAGTGGATATATATATATATATTATAATTATTATTTAATATGTATTCATAGCGACCCAAAGATTACCATGTTTCCAAACCAAAACCTAAATCTTAAATTAAGCTTAAAATTTAAGGATTAGCTCCATCTTGAAAAAATTATTTACTCTTTTTATCTATCTATCTATCTATCTATCTATCTATCCCTGCTGTTTTCTATCTATCTATCTATCTATTTATCTATCTATCTCTATATCTATCTATCTCTGCTGTTTTCTATCTATCTATCTATTTATCTATCTATTCTATATCTATCTATCCCCTGTTGTTTTCATTCATCTATCTATCTATCTATCCCCTATATCTATCTATCTCTATATCCATCTATCTATCCCTGCTGTTTTCTATCCACCATTCATTTATATCATCTTCCATCTATCTATCTCTATATCTATCTATCTCTATATCTACTCATCTATCCCTGCTGTTTTCTATTCATTCATTCATCTACCCATCTATTCATCTATCTCTATATCTATCTATCCCTGCTGTTTCTATCTATCATTCATCTATTCATTCATCTATCTATGCCAACTCCTATCTATCTATGTCATTATATTCATATCTATCTAGTTCCTTCTCTTCATATCTGTTTATCTACCTACTTCATACTTTTCAAATCTATCTTTCTAATAATTTCCACTTCAACTCAGGTGTACACCATTGACAAGAGATCAGAGCTTTGCTATAAGGTGATTTTTCACATGGTGCTCAACTTACATTCAACCTTTTTTCATACTTGAGTCTGGCATCAGATGAAAGTAATTTTCTGCCTTTTTTTTCACTGGCTTATTCTCAAATTTTCAAACGTAAAAGGTTGTGCAGGAAGACAAACAATGGAAAATCAATGGGATTCCTAAAAATCTATCAAATATTAAATTCAGTTCATCATAAAATTGGTCAGACAAAAATCAGTTTACCTGTCCTAGTTCTGATTTCCAGTTATTTCAAGGAATGAATATTCAGATAACTAATTTGGAGAGTCAATCAGCGGCCATAGAACTTTTGACTATGCGATTTTTAATTGACATTCTTGTATATTAGAGATATTTTTATCCAATAAAAAATAACATTTGAGAAATCAAATAAAATGTGTCAGATTAATAAAATGAAAAATCCATGTTATTTTTTAGTGATATATATATATATATATATATATATATATATATATATATATATATATATATATATATATTCTAATTATTATTTATATATATTCATAGCGACACAAAATTACCATGTTTTCAAAACCAAAACCTAAATTCAAATTAAGCTTAAAATTTATGATTAGCTTCATCTTCTAAATGTTGAAAAAACTTTGAAAAATTATTTACCTTTTTATATCAGCCAAATTATTGTATAGTTTGTTGGTAAAAGAGAATTTAAATTTTTTTTTTTAAAAACCCCAAAAAATTTCTAAAAAAACCCCCCCTTTTTTTTTTATTATTTTTTTTCCTTTTCTTTTGAAAATTTTTAAAAATTTTTCTTTTTTTTTAAACTTTTTTTTTAATTAAAAATTTCTTTTTTTAAAAAAAATTAATAAAATTTACAAAAAAAAGATTTTAAAGGGATTTTTTTTTCCCTTTTTCTTTTTAAAAATTTTTTGGTTTAAAAAAATTTTTTTTTTTTTGGTTTATTTCCCAAATTTTAAATTAAAATTTTAAAAAAGAAACCTTTTTTTTTTAAAAAACGTCATAAAAGGAAAAAAAAATTTTTTTTCCCGCAAAAAAATTTTTTGAAAATTTTAAAAAAACAAAATTTTTTTTACTTTTTTTTTAAAAAAATTTTTTATTTTTATTTAATTTTTTTTGGAAAAAAATAAAAGGTTTTTTAAAAAAGTTATTTTATACCAAATATCTGTGGTTTTCCAAAATTAACATGGAATTATGGCTCAAATATATTTAGTAAAAATTATTTACTTGGTCTCAAACAAAAACCAACGTTAAGGTTTGATTTGATATTTGAGATTTGCTGAAGATAGTAGCAGTAAGTATTTTTTTCTTGATGTTTTAAAGGAAATAAATGCAGATAATACATATAAAAAGACTATAAATATGACAAAAAAATTCATAGTATTGTATTCAGGTTGGGTTCTCTGTTTGAAGTTGAAGGTGTATGTATTGATGAACCAAAAATTCCAAGGGTTGAATTGGTTGAGAAAATAAAAAAACAAAAACAAAAGAATGGAATAAAATTAAATTTTCTTGTGTAGTGAAATTTTCAAGGATCATTCCTAGAAGAAAAATGTAAATTCGAGGAATGTTCTTCAGAGAATCTTTGTTAAAAAAAAAAAAATGTAGAAATAGTTGAACTTAATCTGTTTGTGAATTAAAGAGTAAGTGAAGGTGTCTTACCTAAGCCATGTGTGTCTGTTTTCAGAGTGCTAAGTTTAGCGTCTTACTACAACCCAGGAACAGTATGAAAGAGAGCTAGCTTCTTGGGATTCGTACTATGCGTGTTTTTTTACACATACCCAAAAGCTGAAAAGGGATCACTGCTGCTGATTGGGTTTTCAATGCATGCATGTCTGGCACACCCAAGTATAGCATCTGCTACAATGGAATAAAACTCTTCAATATGATCAAAATTATAATTTCTCTCTCAGAATTCATGGTGCTTTTTTCCTAAAATATTTTGTTGGCTATTTTTGTAAAGGTCAGTATCACCTTCTGATTGATTTATATGGATACATATTCTGTGCAAATCAATGAATAATAATTTATTCTTCATATTAGGTAGAATTGCTAATTAACTAATTATTAGATTGGATATCACTAACAAATCTCTTGGTAAAAATTTTCTCAATAATTAAAAATTATTAACCCCATGAATTAATGATATTCATCTCCAGTCAGGGAGCAACAAACTGTGGTTGCTAGGCGCTTTATTTGGAATTACCTTGGCTGTAATCAATGAATCATAATTATATCTCCAAAAGGAATTACATTCCTTTTAACATCTTTGACCACATTGATGTACCAAAGGAAATGGTAACCTTGAAGGCCAAAGTGATTTTGTGTCCATGTTTTTGTGAATATATATATATATATATATATATATATATATATATAAAAAAAACATATGGAAGAAAATATATAGACCATATATCGCAACTGATCCAAAAAAACAACCGAAAAAATCACCTCCAAGACCAGGATCAAAGTATAGTAAATCCAGCAAAAAGGCCATAAAATCATCACCAGTGACAGTGGCCAGGATCATCAGCCGCAGTTCCAGCCAGCAATCAGCCATCAGCAATCCTGGCCAGCAATCATCATCACAATCAGCTACTGTTCCAGCCAGCAATCATCATTATCAGCTGCAGCAACTCCAGCTAGCAAATCATCATCATCAACTGCAACTCTGGCCAGCAATCATCATCATCATCATCATCAGCTACTGTTCCAGCCGGCCAGCCTCGCAAACAGTAATGATATGCAATAAACTATCCTTTTCAGGATAACACTTTTCAATGTTCTTCTCATCCTCTCCATGAATATGCAGAAATTTTCTTTTTTTTTCGCCTAGTGAGCTGTAACCTTATTTTTGTCAATGTATTTTCTTTAACAAAAATAAACTTAGCAATACATTTTTTTACTCAATTCTTTGTTTTGTTTGTTGTTGTCTTCCATCAATCAATATCTGTTTGCGGGCAAATATGCCACCTGCAATATATATATATATATATATATAGGATCTCTGACTGATACCAAATCGGTAGGGTTTCAATCCTTGCTTGAAGCAATTGGATGTCTAGCCACACTGATGAGCTGTGATATGGCAAAACAGGCCTGTATGTAGATGACCATATTATAAAAAGCTCCTATCTATTCAATCGAGTACTATTGAAAAAAGGTAATTCCAAGCCAGTGGCCATCAACGCTATTAATGCACTGCTCTTCATTAATGAATCAAGCACTGTTGGCTACTGGCGTTTGTTTACATCTGTATACAATACATTAGATTTTCCCTTTTCCTCTACCATGCGCCGACATGAGGATCAACTGATGCCAAAAATTGGCAGGGTTTCAATCCTGACTTGAAAATCAGATGTCCAACCACACTGATGAGATGGTGAAACAACCTGTATGTGGAGATCATATATATATATATATATATATATATATATATATATATATATATATATATATATATATAGGCAGTAATACTATTAAGACAAATACTATTAAAGCAGCAAATTAATAAGAGTTGAAAGGTTTCACAGCGCTAGCATTACTCCTTCATAGTCAGCCTAGGACATTTTTCAGCCTGCTGTTGTCTGGGCTTAGGTTCTTGTATAATAAGATAATTTTCTGATTCTAAAACTCTTAAGCTTCAAGGTCGAAAAAGATGAATTTGTATGACATATCTCTTACAGGACTCGAGTGTAATATCTTCTCATTTGGTGGGTAGATCACCAAGGTCTTGGGTATGGCCACCACATGTAACACGATATTCTGTATGCCATTCCATGTTACCCTCAATAACAGAATACTTAATGCCAGCACCAAAAGTAACACTGTGGCGATCATAGCTCTCCACAGATTCCTTTTCTTTATGACTTGGTGTGGATTCTAGGAAAAAAATAGTGGAGTAACTTCTGTTACCTTTCCCACAGTTTGGAATTTCCAGAGTTTTTGTTCTCTTAGACTGTTTGTCAACCTAAGTTAGAGATCCCAGTCTATTCTGTTATTTAACCCATATCTGGAAGGAGAAGAAATGGATTGATGCTTTTCCCAAGGATATTAGTGTAAAAGTGAACATAACTGACTAGGCCAGAATTTGAACTTGGCCTGCCAAGAACGTCCGAAACTTTGTGAATATGGCAATGAAGATGAGGATAACAGTCTGAATAATGTAAATAATGTAATCATAATACCTCATCTCAGAGATATAGACAGACAATCATTTTATGTTGATATCATCAAAGTAGAAAGAATATTGACTTGGAGGTTAATCTTTTTCAGTACAGGGACATTTTCAACTCACAAAACCAAAATGATAGCAACACACGACTCCTTCTTGGCCTCATGTTTTCAATTGACTTGAAGTGGAGTGACTATGTCAAATCAATGGCTGCATCTACTGCAAGAAATGTTGTGTTACTATGTCATGCCAGAGTCCATCTTTCCCATATACAAATCTACCATTGGTCTGTGCATTGAATTCTGTTGCCATATCTAGTCTGGTGCTCCTGCTATTCATCTAAAAGTTCTTGACAGAATCCAAAGAAGGATCAGCAATGTAATCAATCCTGACTTCTGTCACTTTCCCACTGATGTGGCATGGCTTCCCTCTGTCTTTTCTACAAATATTTTCATAGCAACTGCTTTTTTCCCTGGTGCCCTGACTACATGAATTTAAGCATGCTAGGTCCCATCCATTTCTTTTCTCATACTTCCCAACAGTGGAATTCACTTCTGTTTACTTGCTTCCCTGATAACTACAATCTTCAAAAATTTAGATGCAATGTCAATTGCCATCTTCTATATTCTTGAATCCTGTTCAACTTTTGTCCTTTCCTCAGTCCTCTCCATATTCAGTCTTTCCCCTCACTTCCCTGTAACCCCCTG